TTTGGAACCGCAAATTGAAACAGTATTTTCATTCACTTTTCCATTAAGGTTTCATGAAAAAATTTATTATTTTTTTTCACGTAAAACATGCACATGTATTGACCAAAGGACATTATGTGTCTATCATAAAAATTTGACTCAAGTTTTCTATATGATGTGATGTACTTGTAAATTTACAAAAATTTAAATTTTACGAACACACAATACCGTTCGATCAATCCACGTGCATTTCAAGTGCAAGAAGTTGATCATTAATTTTTTTTACTAAACCTAAAGAGAAAAGTTATAGAAATACTACTTAAGTTTGTGATATCATATAATAACATTTAAAATTGTAGCTTTGAATGAATATAGTAAGTAATTTTTTGCATTTTTTGCAATGATTTATTGAAAAATATAAATTTATAAATCACCTTTATTTTAATAGATTTGTAATATTGAGCAGTTTTTTTGGCAGTTGGATAGATTGCGAGTGATCGTAATTTGTAAATATTAAGTTCTTTAATTATTTATTTTATTTTTTTTAAATAGGAAGATTTATTTGTTAGATATAACTAAAATTATTAAGAAGATTTATAAAAAAAAAGAGAACTCAAAATTTGCAGAGTTTGAATTGAGATTGAAAATTTGTAGTTTTTTTTTATTTATGAACTATAACCTATTTTATTTATTTTAATTAAAGTAGTATTATAATATAAATTTTTAAAAATTTGGTGCCTTCCCAAAATAGGCGTCTAAAGCCATTGCTTCATTGCCTGTTAAAGTTATCGTACCGCAAAAACATTGAAAGTTTTGTGTTGTATTTCTAATTTAATTTGACAGATATTTACCATTTAATTAAGCTGAAAATATTAAATCATTGAAAGAAAATTGGATTTGTATGATAGAAAAAAAAAATTTAACATAGTTTTGAGATAATTTTTTTAATCAAAATCAGTTTTTTTTTCTTTTTTTTTTAATTTTATTTTAAATAGATGGGCTGTCCCTCCCCCATCCCCCAGCTAGTGGTGTTATAATATTTGGTCATTTAATACTAGTAGCTGATAACCATTAATGTGTCATCATCGATTTCTTCTTACTTAGGCTATTTTCTTGACTTAAAAAAAAAAAACATACACGCTTATTCACACAACGGTAACATTGGAAAAATTCTTACTAGTACGTAATTGACTCAATTAGATAGTAGTATAACAGCAAAATAAAGTCTCAACTCCCACCAAGTTGTCAAATGTTTCGTAATGACCTCGAATTTTCCCCCTTCATTTATTTATGTCAGTATTTTCTTTTCTTCTTTTTTTTTTACATAAAAAAACATAACAGGCTCATACAAAAAAAAAAAAAAAAAAAGGAACATTCAAAACTATCACAAGTGTCTGCAGAACGAAATTAAAGAGACAGGTCAAAATGTGAGTCACACAAGTGTACACCCTATTAATCACAATAACATATGGGCGGAAGATTTTTACGTAAAAATGCAACGATCTGTTTTCCCACACAAGAGGCAATTTGTTTGTCCTCTTCAATTTATTTGATAATTTAGATTTGTCGAATTCTATGTTGTAATATAATAAAGGTTTTTGGTCGATCGAATTATAAGTTGATAAATTAATCTATTTCATTTAATTTACCAAATTTTAAAATGAGAGTAATAATTTTTTATTCAAGGTTAATTAGAACGATACAAAAATCACATGATAAGTACTCCCTCCGTCCCATAATTATTTTCCACTTTGTTCAAAAAATTTTGTCCCAAAATTATTGTCCAATTTGACTTTTTATGGATCAAGTTACACATTTGTCCTTAGTAAAAAACATTATCCATAAAATCTTAGTGGTTAAACAATTACTTATCTAAGGGTATATCCGATTGTTTAAGGTAAAATATAATTAAGTTTGACCAAAAATAAAATCTTTCATTTTAATAAAATTGGACAATAATTATGAGACGGAAGGAATATATTTTAATTTCTATCTATCTCAGAACCAAAGAGAAAAATCGATATTAAAAAACAGTTTTGCCATCTAAAAACAGTCGACAACGGTGCATGTAGCAAATATCTTGTCCATTTCAAGGAATGTGGAGAGAATTGCCACTAACTTGGTAAATCTAATCTTGGGATTCTTTTAGTTGGTTTGGCTTTCTTCACTTGCCAATAGTGAACCATTCACACCCCTTTTTCCCCCTTTTAATTTCATGGAAATTGGAAGGCACCATTTCCTTAATGTTAAATATGGACAACAATACAAGAAGCATCGGAGATTGGAGAGTGACAATTATTAGAAGTGGGGGTTTTTTTTTTCGTAATTTGTCTTTTTATCACTTTGGGTGCAATTTGGGGATGACTTTATTTGAGTGGCCAAACCAAGTACTACTTCATATTGCTAATTTTAATTTGGTATCTCAATCAGGGAAGGGCTTACCCAACTTCCCAATTTTATTACTATTTTTTTAAAAAATTTATTTTTCCTTCTTCTTGGGACCCAATTCTTTCTTGATTGTGTTGGATTATTAGGAGTATTGGTGAATGGTGATTGCGAATCTTTTGATTAGTTTATTTTAGTCGTCAAAAAAATGTCTAGGATGCTTATTTTGATTGGGAAATATTTTAATTAATGAACAAATTTGCCAAGAATACATTTATAATAAAAAATAAGATTTTAACACTGAAGAGTTGATTATTGTTGCCTTCTGTTAGCAAAATTCCTTTTTGGATCTTTTTTGTTTGACCTTATCCAAATGATAATTAAGTGAATACCCAATATTTCAAATCGAAAGATTCTGAAATATTAATGTCAAATCTCAAAAGTGATAAAAGAAAATTAAAGGTTCCTTCATTATTGGCTCAGGAGAATATAACATACAAATTTAATTTATGGTAGATGCATGGGAGGACCTTGGTGCAACAATTAACATATACTGTTCTATTAGGGAGCCAGACTTCTGTAGATTCGGCTAACAACTTTGTGTTAGATGGCAATTATTTGATATTCGGACGGAGGAGTATGAAATATTCTCTCTGATTCAAAATAAAAGTTTTATTTTGGAATGGAATCGAGTAAGTCATTTCGTTAACCCACTTAAGCTAGCACTAATGTACTAATGAGTAATGACCATTTGGTAGATAATTAACGATCCTAAATTAGTCTAAATAAAGGTTCAATTACCAACATGGTTGAGCTGTATCAATGACCTAAGCTGGTTTTGTTAAGAAATTTTTTTGACTGCATGCGGGAATCGATCAATTTGATTTGGAGCACAAGAAATGGGACAAAATTCAGGGAAAAAAGGGTCAAAGTTGCATGAAGATTTTAGGATCCAAATAATTGGATTATAGGTCAGCAAAAGCACCTAACCTAACTACTCTTTAATTAATACTAGGAAGTTATCCTTAATCACTTTGTAATTGGTTTTTGGTCAGCACATAGCACCAAACCTAACTACCTTGCATTCCTAGTCACAATCCTTAGACAAATCAATTAATAAACAATTTGATGTGTCGGTAATTTTTTTTTTTTTTGGTGCATGAATAAATGGGATTTTACAGTTTTCAACTATCGTCTTCTCCCAAGTTCCAAAGGCTCAAATTAACACAAACCAGTCTAATCTCTGAAGGGCAAGCGAATTGAACGAAATGGAAAAAAAAATAAAAAATAAAAAATGAATGGTTGCAAATTTGCAATAATGTAGTTGGTGTTTAAAGTTTGTCGAGAGTAGTCTCCTCGTAAAAAAAAAAAAACACCTAATGCAATGGTTTTCTTCTTTTTTTTTTTTGTTTATTTTCCAAAATGTAATTTCCAAGTTTAGGGCAGATCTATAGACATTAGCCGAGACCCACTTGTCAATCTTCATAGTAGCAAGAAATTGAACAAACAATTGATAACCGGAAACCAACATACCAAAAGGTGATTGAACCGTAGAAAACTTAAAAAAAGGGAAGCGTAAAGGTAAATTTATTTCCAATCTAATGAAAGAACTCCTGTTTATATTGATAAAGCAAAAACCCACATCTCAGATCAAAGGGTGCAAATGCAACCAAGTACAGTACTTAGTAGAGATTTTACGTTCACTATGACAATATAAGAGAAACTTAAAAGTTATATCCCCCGTCCCAAATTTTTCGTCCAGTTTAGATTTTCATTTTTAGTTCAAATTATATTAAAAGTTGAATTTCAAACTGAACAATGATTTTGAAATGGAGGGAGTATACTGCAATAATAACGTGATTTGCAACATTAACGTGATATTTGTGTTTTACACGAAATAAATGAGTCATGACCGTATCACAAATTCTCACTATGTAAAGATCAAGAATACCCTTTTATGGCAAAAATTAAGACTTATATTATATGTAACAAAATTGTAATGCATTTTATTCTTTTTAAAATTCCTGACAGTAGACTACCCATCTATGGGATAAATGAATATTGGATACTAATGCAGTATTTAATTAGAAGATAGACTGCCGAAAATGGAAATGGCTAATGGCAATGTGCCAATCTGGCACCAACGTTAGTAATCTCGAAGTTATCTTAAGAACTTACACCCTTCTTTTATTTTTATTTTTTTTTATCATATACCATAATTAGTTTCACTTGGGGGATGAATTAATGATGAAAGAGAAAATTAGACCAGTGAAATTAAAATTTTTATTCCAAAACCGAACGTTATCTTTTACCAAAGCCACACTATTAAAGAAAAACGAAAAAAAAAGAAGAAGAGAGATTGAAACTGAAGAATGCCAACCTTAAAAATTGAAAAATAATAAAAAAAAATCATTGACACTTGTGCAGCTGTGTGCTTATAGTATAACAGTTACGGAGCCTGAACCCAAAAAAATCTGAAGAAAATTAAAAAAAAAAGAAAGAGAAAAAGAAAAAGAAAAAGAAAACCACAACTTTTTATATATTTATTTATTTTACCTAAAACAATAAAAAATTGTTACGAGTATAATTGTGCAGAGAATAATTATTTGTTTTTTTTTTTTTTTTTTGGCTGTTATAATTCCTAAAAAGAGTGAGAATTGGTTAAGCTCTCTAACCCACCCTCCTCTGTAGTCTAGCACCCACTTCTCTCCAACCCATCTATTATTAGTTTGCTGCAGCAGAAAAAAGGAGGAAGAAAAAAGCAGTGTCCGGGGGGAGAAAGAAGACTTGCTGAAGTTGCAGTAATTTTTTATTTTTTGTCCCCAATCAAATTGTTATAATAACGTATTATAAGAAGTCGTATAAACCCACATTTCAAAGCAAGCAAATTTCTTTGGATTTCCTCAGTGAAAAAGCAACCAACTTGGAGCTGTCAAAGTCCTCAAGCCGCGCACTGGCTGTCTTCCTGTTTCTGGGTTTTTGAAGAGGATTAATGGGGAGCGAGCTTCAGCTCTAATTTAACCCGATTTTGGATTTAAAGGCTGTCCCTTTTTTTATTTATTGCTGTTTTTGTGGGAAATTGTGGAGTAATTTGTTGGGGAAATTAGTAATGCGAAGAGGGTTGAAGTGTTTTTCTGGGTTGGAACCGATCGGAAAGTTGTTGCCGGTGGTTTGATGGACCCGGAGTTGTTGCTATATGGAGTTGAGGATTTGGTGTGGCGGATGCTCTTGTGTGTCTTCTAAGCCGAATTTTTTGACTAAGCATCGGATTTTTCTTCAGGTAATCTTTTTTAATTTCTACTCAAATTTGTTGGATTTATGGTTTTGTTCAGTTCAGGTTTTGGGAGATACTTTTTCCAAACACTTCAATCTTATCATTGTAGTAGATGACAGAAGGCAAAAATGGTTAGAGACGGATAATGTAATGTTGGGTTCAGTTGAAATTTTGGTTTTTGCTCTGTAAAAGTATGGGATGTGAGGTAAAAGACTAATTGGGATTTTTCATGAAATATCTAAACAGTTTCTACTTCTTTATCTTTAAGTGGAAGGTAGCATTTTTATCGTTGAAAAATTAAGATATGGAAATTCCTCTTTCTTCATGATAGGTAATTAATTGATTTGCCTGACATTCTGATATATATTTGGTAAATTTCCATTTTAGCTTTCTCTTCTGATTTGTTTCCTTTTTCTTTTCCGGTTGCTCTTCTATTACTTTTTTCCTAATTTAGTGTGAAGATGATCTAATAACAAAAGCGTATTTTCTGTGGAATCTCCTGAGAAATATATTGTTTCTATTAGGTTTCTATCCTGAGAAATATAGACCATCCCATACCCATACTTGCAGCTCAGCAGCTGTATTGTTACCATTATATTTTATATGATTAGTTGTTTTGGTGTCCTCAACTCCAGTAGTTATGACATGGACTTTAAAGGTTGCTCCTTTATTCGGGTGGAAATTTCATATATATGATTCTTTGATTATCGTTGTCTTCTAGGAAGTGACATGATCTACAACTCAAAATTTAAGCTGTACTTTTTGGAATTGATCTAATACTAAAGCATATGTTTTCTGTGGGTTGTGTTACTGTAGACTTCCGATACCCGTACTTGCGATTGTATTGTTACAGTTATATGATTGGTGGTTTTGGCTTCCTCATCTCCAATAGAAATGAGTCTAAAGTTTGCTTCTTTGTTTGGGTGGAAACTTCATGTTAATGCTTCTTTGGTTATGGTTGTTTTCTAGGAATTGGCATGATCTCAAAATGAAGTCATACTTTTTAGAATTGATCTGATTGTTTTTTCTGCTGCAGGTTTTTCTGACGTTTTTGTGTGTTCAAGCTGTTTATGCTGCATTACATGATCACCATTTGGATAGGAAAGGTCTAAACAGGGGAAGCGAAAATATTGAATCACATTCATGCATTCATGACGAAATTATTGAACAAAGAAAGAGACCTGGTCGCCAGGTGTATTCTGTAACACCGCAGGTCTATGAGGAACCTGGGGTTTTGAAGCCATTTAATCACAAGGGAAGGGCATTGCTAAGCGTCTCTGAGTCTTTTAGGCCACAGAAAGATGAAAAGCTGCCCATTAGAATTTATTTAAATTATGATGCTGTTGGTCACTCATCTGATAGGGACTGTCAAAATGTGGGCGATGTTGTAAAGGTAAGTTTCTTTATTAATTGCTCATCTCGATTAGTTTCTGGTTTGAGGACAAAATTTATATGTTAGAAGTAATTCGTTGTTAATCTTCTATGGCCGTTTGACTCTTCTGAGCAGCTGGGGGAGCCACCGGGGGCTTCTTTTTCTGGTGAACCTTCTTGTAATCCACATGGAGATCCTCCTGTTCAAGGTGACTGCTGGTACAATTGCACATTGGATGATATAGTTGGGGGGGATAAGAAAGACCGACTTCGGAAGGTAAGAGTTGACCTCTTGTATGCTCTATATGTGCACCGAAAAACAAACATGATAATAATGTTTGGGAGAAGCGGAAAATGTAACTTTGCGTGGGTATGCCGTTAAGTCATAATTCGAATGGCTTTGCGGATTGGTATTTTGCTATCTTAACAGAAAAACTTATTTAATTGGCTTATTGCAGGCTCTTGGGCAGACAGCTAATTGGTTCAAAAGAGCGTTAGCTGTTGAACCTGTAAAAGGCAACTTGCGGTTGAGTGGATATTCTGCATGTGGACAAGATGGAGGCGTACAACTTCCTAGAGAATACATAGAAGGTATCTTTGTTATGAAACAGTAGGAATGACTTTTCCTGTTTAATGCTATTCAATTGTATTCTTCCGCTTGATTGTGTTGACCTGTTCCCATCTGCAGAGGGCGTTGCTGATGCTGATTTAGTTCTCTTGGTGACAACGAGGCCCACAACTGGAAATACTTTGGCTTGGGCAGTGGCGTGTGAACGTGATCAATGGGGACGTGCTGTTGCGGGTAATTTCTTGGTTGAGCATAATTTTTCTTGGGATGTAATGTAACATGCAAATGGTCAATTTTAACCAACAGTGTTTGTATGATCTGCAGGGCATGTCAATGTTGCTCCACGTCACTTGACTGCTGAAGCTGAAACTTTACTTTCAGCTACTCTGATACACGAGGTAAGCTGTTTTTTGGGTATGATTGATAGAAGTCTGGAAAGATTTCTTTCATTGAGCTGGCCGGAATTTTGGTTTTGACAGGTGATGCATGTGCTTGGATTCGATCCACATGCCTTTGCACATTTTCGAGACGAGAGAAAAAGAAGGCGCAGTCGGGTAATAATGCTTCTCAAAAAAGTTTTCTTTTCAACTCAAACATACATTTCTTGCTAATATTCCGTCCATCAATTTCTGTCTGCCATCTTGTTTCTTTCCCATACATTACTTGTAGAGAGTGACTTTTCTTGGGTTTTAGTGCATGTGCACTGATGGTATTAGCCATCCTTATCATAACTGTTAGACTGGGTTTTTTTTTCTCCTTTACTTTTTGCGTTGCAAGACCAAATACTACTTACTCTACCCTGTGCTTGCTAATTTTGATCTTTAAAGATTCAGTGTTTTAGATATTCATATACTGTCCATTGTTTACTTTGTTGGCTTCAATTTCGGCTTTCTAATTTACCACTTGATCCGATTTAGGTTACGGAGCAGGTCATTGATGAAAAGCTTGGGAGAATGGTCACAAGAGTTGTGCTTCCTCGAGTTGTTATGCACTCACGTTTTCACTATGGGGTACTGATTTGTTCTTTTATACTTTACTGTTGAAATGCGTCTATAAGAAGCTTGTACGAAGTAGATAATATTGATCTTCTAATTGTTGGCAGGCTTTCTCTGAGAATTTCACTGGCTTGGAGTTGGAAGATGGTGGTGGGCGTGGCACATCAGGTGGGTTATTGCCTGGAAACATATAGCATAGCACCTTATCGTTACATATGGATATCTTGATGAGTGTTTTCTTATATTCATAGTTTAATTGTCAATGTGCCAGCTGATTCCATTTGATTCTAGTAAAATTTTAAGAATATTTCCGTTCTGTTTTTGTGCATTTGGGTACTCTTTGTTAATTATGTGAATTGATATTTTACTCCAGGATCTCACTGGGAGAAAAGGCTTTTGATGAATGAGATTATGACGGGCTCAGTGGACACAAAATCAGTTGTCTCAAAAATGACGTTGGCTTTACTTGAAGATAGTGGATGGTATCAGGCTAACTACAGCATGGCTGACCGTCTTGATTGGGGTCACAATCAAGGAACTGAGTTTGTTACCTTGCCTTGTAATCTCTGGAAGGGAGCCTATCGCTGTAACACGACCCATATATCTGGGTGTACATATAACCGGGAAGCGGAAGGCTACTGCCCAATTATGAACTACAGTGGAGATCTTCCCCAATGGGCCCGCTATTATGAACAGCCTAACAGAGGTGCTATATCTTTGTACTGTATCTTTGACATCAAACCATTTTTATCAATGTTATTATTTGTCCCTTTCCCTTCCTCGAAATCCTGATTTTATCCAGTTTAAGTTATTTTGCAGATCTTTATAACTATGACTGATAGACCCTCTATTGTGATTATAAACTGCAGGTGGTCAGTCACCATTGGCTGATTATTGCACTTATTTTGTAGCATACTCGGATGGATCATGTACAGATATTAACAGTGCCCGTGCTCCTGATAGGATGCTGGGGGAAGTACGTGGTAGTAGTTCTAGGTGAGTATTCAGTTGTCTTGGGGTACATATACTTATCAAGAGACTATGGCTGGGACTGAATTTTATTCATCAATATCTAGGTGTATGGCATCATCCCTAGTTCGTACTGGGTTCGTGCGTGGGTCTATGACGCAAGGAAATGGTTGTTATCAGCACAGATGTGTTAACAATTCTCTGGAGGTATGTGCTGGAGTTTTATGGTGATGCTGCTTGTTTGGACTTTTATTTTATTTAATGATAGATGTGGGGATAATTTGTTTTACATTGATACTGCATGTTAACAAATGCCGAGTAGATAATATTTCTGGCTTTGCAATGTTGGGAACCCCATAGATGGCTACATCAAGCTTTTTTCTTTATTCTTGTCAAATTCTTAATGTCATTTGAAACTGTAAACTCCTTTCCAGGTTGCTGTTGATGGCATCTGGAAGGTGTGTCCTGATGCTGGTGGACCAGTGCAATTTCCTGGATTTAATGGTAAACGTCATAGCTACCTCCTGATTATAATCTAACTCAATTTTTTTGATTATTTTAATATGATGTCTCTCCCTAAATGCAGGTGAACTGATCTGCCCAGCTTACCGTGAACTGTGTGACATAGACCCAGAACCTTTATCTGATCGGTGCCCTAATTCCTGTAATTTCAATGGAGATTGTGTTAATGGAAGATGTCATTGCTTTCTAGGCTTTGAAGGCCATGATTGTAGCAAAAGTGAGTGTTATTTTTGTTGCTCTGCTGTCTCTAGTGCACGTTTATAATTTGAAGGTTTTAAAATTGTTTTGTTTCTCAATCTTTCATTTAAACTTGTACTGCAGGGTCCTGCCCTAATAACTGTAGCAGGCACGGAGAGTGTCTTTCAAATGGTGTTTGTGATTGTGAAAATGGGTACACAGGCGTTGATTGTTCTACAGGTAACATGATTCTTCTGAAATCATCTCTTTTTATAGCTAGTCGTCTTTGATCAACAATGGATAAGCGTTCCTTTGAAAACCTCAAAATATTTCCTTTTCTTTCTTTTTTTTTTTTTCCTTTTTCTTTTTTTCTCTCTCCCCATTTTAGACTGTTCCAATGGTGTATATAATTAGAGTGATCCATTAAGTTAAATACTCATTTCCCTAGTTGATGGTTTTGTGGTTATTTGTTGTCTGATTGAACCTCAGGTTGGATCACAACATAAAAGTATTTTTATGTTCTATTTTTGATTCATTATACTGTTTTATATGGTGGAGGCCTTGCCTTCTATATGATAATTTAGTCAATCTAATACTTTTGTCTCTTTGTGACGACATTGGGTGAAATGCAGCCACCTGTGACGAACAATGTAGCCTTCACGGTGGTGTATGTGACAATGGTGTTTGTGAGTTCCGATGCTCTGACTATGCTGGCTACACTTGCCAGAATAGTTCCTTGCTTCTTCCAAGTCTTTCAGTTTGCCAAGATGTGCTTAGAAAGGACGCAGGCGGTCAACATTGTGCTCCCAGTGAATTAAGCATATTGCAGCAGCTAGAAGAAGTTGTTGTGATGCCTAATTACCACCGGTTATATCCTAGTGGTCCTAGGAAAGTTTTGAACTATTTTAGGGGCAAAGACTGTGATGGTGCTGCTAAACGGCTGGCCTGTTGGGTGAGTATCTTCATATTTGTGGTACTGGTTTAGATTTACAGTAAAGTTGAATTGATTTTCTTCCTTAATAAAATTGGATAAACTATTTGGTTTGACCCTAGTTTCTGGAATATTTTATTGCTGAATTCAGTTGCACTCTGGTGCTTGGTCTACATGAACTTTGTTGATTTATTCTCGTACTGGGTTGGCCTTTCTGAACTGTGTCGAATCACATTCACAAGGAACTGTTTTGATAGCTTGTTAGTATGACTGCCAAAACAGCGATCCTATTGCTAATTCCTTTTAATTTCTTGGGACAGATCTCTATCCAGAAATGTGACAATGATGGTGATAACAGACTAAGGGTGTGCCATTCCGCTTGCCAAGCATATAACTTGGCATGCGGAGCTTCTCTCGATTGCTCTGATCAAACCCTTTTCAGCAACGAAGAAGAAGGAGAAGGTATTTGCACTGGATGGGGTGAATTAGATTCTTGGTTTTGACGACGGCACTCAGTAGGAAACTCTTTTCTCATGTAAGTAGTTGTGAAAAGAGCCTGTAAATTATTAGGCTGATTTAGTGTGTAGTAGTTTTGTAATTTTTTTTGTCGCCGGTCTTGTAATTCCTTTTCCATTTTACTCGTTAGCTGTAGGAACAGGTTGCAAAAGTTGCACCTGTGGTTTAGGTTTTAGTTTTAGATTCTTGGTCCTCCCAGCCCAATTATGGTTTACAAAAAGAATTGGGTGGGAGTCTTCATTGAGACTATGCTGCTTTCGAAGATGAAAGCCTAATGTAGAGAGCAACTAACCATGCATTGGAAAAAAAAAAAGAAAAAACCAAAGTAGAGAAGGATGAGATGGAGAGAATGAGCGAGGCCTAAGGTCTTGTTGAGAACATTAGTTTGTTCACTTTGACTACTACCCTTGTATTGCTTCTAAATGTGTATAATAGTGTTTTTTACTAAAATGTATTATCATTTTCCTCTAGTACAAAGTTGTGTGTACATTGAAATCAAAAGGTTACTGGCAATAGTTGATCAAAACAAAGGTTCATCCGGAATGGATTTAGAGAGACAAATGTTGCGCTACTCATCGGCTTTGAATCCAAGGGGAACATCTGTCCTACTCTTCATCACAAAATGTAACCAATTAATCAAAACTCAAACTTTGGGACGGATGTTTGATACACAATGCTTGCCCTATTCCTAAAAGAATGTAACTGGTCCTGTCAAAATCAACCATCGGTGTGGGAAACATTACTAACTAGGAGGGAAAGAAAGCCAAAAGAAGCCCAACTCGTATATTTATCAGCATTTTCGGACTACAATCTAGATGGAGAAAACAAATTTCATGGGCATGTTTAATTAGAAGATTTCTTGACCGTAAGCATGCATGAAGAGGGAATATATATATATATATATATATATATATATATATACAGACGACCAGTCACCAAACCATTTGACAAAAGAGACCACCTGATCAGATCAGAGAGAGTGAGAACGCCACTTTTACTAACTTTCTTGTCCATCTTTCAACAAATCATGTGCGCATCAATCTATTAGTATAATTCTTCTCACCAATAACATCCAAATAATCACCAAATGACGTATAATTTCAACAATGTATCATTATTATTCATCATATCAACCATGGAATTTCTATCAATACTTAAACTTTAATAAACTACTACAGCAGCAAAATGAATCTAATCAAGAAACCCTTCCTACGACAATGTCAATGCATTTTGATGATGACTAATGTTCCTTCCTTCAGTTATGGGGGCAGAAGGTGATTGTGTAATCTGAACCGGCACAAGTGCACGTGCTCGAAGCGTCGTCGTACGCGTAACTATAGGCCGAAGGGCAAGCGTTCTTGAAGAGCTTAGAGTAGGACGTCGGAGTACACGTGTCCGGCGTGGCGTGGGCGCCGGTGCAACAGTATTCCGGCGTTTGAAACGCCGAGCACGCGCTCTTGCACGCGATGACCGATCCCGAATCCTTCACTTGCAACTCCAGCGGACAGTTTGAGTTCAAGTCCGCCACGCACCCGGCGTACTGGCAGTCACCGGAACCTCCCGAGGGACGGACGCCGACTCCCACATTGTATCCGTCCACGAGGCTGACGTCGTAGAAGTCCTTCTCAGTTTTGTCCTTTCCGAGGGTGAATTCTACTAGCGTCACCGGCGGTACGCCGCCGCCGGTGCACTTTAGTCCGCCGCAGTCGCCGGACGAGCAAGTACCATGGCCGGAGTCGTCGAAGTTACATCCCGTACGTGCCCAGAAACGCCCAGACCAACCGCCTGGGGCGGGGACTTTGATGGACGCGCCGGGGGATAATGCAAATCCGCCGCCTCCGAGAACGGCGGCTCCGTTACCGGAAAGAGTTCCCGGCCAGACTGTATAACTGCAACTATTTTGTAACGTAAAAACTGCCGCAGAAATTAAACCAAACGTTCCTGCACAATGTGAGATGTGACATCAACATCAAATCAATTAACTAGCCTAATTGCAATTAATAGGCTATTAGGAACCAATCATCCATTCATCTTTCTCAATTTTTTTTTTTTCTGGGAAGAATTAATCTATAACCATAATTGCCAATTCACTAAAGTATAAACCACCGAAAATGGAGTTCATGAAATTCATTACTGTATGTTTTCTTTTTTCCTAATAAAATTTTTTAAGCGAGAATACTTTGAATTGAAGGATTAATAGTACGAAATCAATCCCGTTGTACGTGGCCTTAAATTGATGAAGAAAACTTACACATATAATCATTGTTCATTGATGATAGAGGAAAGAAAGAAGGCAAAAAATAGTACGTGTTACAAAAACATACAAAATTTAGGACGTACCAAGATAAAGAAGAGCAAGAAGAAAAAGAACCATGCTTTGCCTACCCGCCATTGATGAATACTTGAAGATTAATTTTGGGAGGGAGGAAGAAGAAGAAGAAGAAGGAGATTTAGGGTACTGAAAGGAAGTTGGTTGATTTGTAGTTGAGAAACTTGAGATTGTGGGAAGTGAATATTTATAGAGTCGCCATTTTATTTTGTTAAATATAGTTGGGAAAAAGCGGGACCAAAGATTACACGTTCCCCACTCCCCACCTTAATTTCTCATTACCTTAATGTTTGTTTGCTTGTTAATTTCCAATCATCATTTTTAGTTAATAAATTTAATTAGAAACGGTTAATGGCATGACTATTTTTTTTATTACCGTTTTTCTTTTGGTTGATGTAATGTAAATTATGTTTGTATCTTTGCCGTTTTGGTTTTGATTGGTATCTCACACCAAAATACCTATGTAAAATTTAGAGGTTAATAACCAATTATGTAAGTTATATATCAACCAAAAGATTGTCACGCTTACTGTTTGATATTCTAACAATTCAGGCTGATTTCCTCTCTTACCCACCAGCGCGGCAACCTTGGTAGTAACATTTCAAAAAGAAGAAGTATATTCAATTCTATTTAAATTTGAGTTTGATACAAAGCTTCTTTTTCTTTCCATCACTTTTACACCTCCATTTACCTTTTCTCTTACATGATTTAACTATATATGATAAGTAGGATGTCCCAAACATAATCTATATTGTGTCATTTTGTGATATTACAAGGATTTCTTTCATTTTGTTTCTTCTACCTGAAAGAGAAAAACAATATTATTGCGCAAACTTCTTTTATGAGTTTTCCTCTTGTTCACAAAGGTCACGCAATTATGTTTCATGTCCTTGTATACTCATAATAACCATCCACTTGCTGGCTATCTAAGGTGAAGATTGAAGAAAGCAATTTCAATTCGCAGATGAAACTTCCACCATGTATAACAAGTTTTTTTACTTAAGAAAAAGAAGAAGAAGAAAGAAAGCAAGAAAGAACGTTAGTGTGTTTGGGATCATATGCACAAGTTTCGAGCTAGTATTTAAGGCGAAGAGTAAAAAATTAACTTTAGACCGTTGTTATATTAACTTTAATATTATTAGAAATTAATATTAATTATTAATTTTTTAACAATAAAAAGATGCACAATCCTTGCAAACTAAGTTGATATATTTTGGGATATGTCACTTCAGTTACACGATCACATCACCATTGTACCAATAGGTGGAATGCTTATTGCAATCCACCCAGTTCATATGTTTGCCAAAAAAATGCGAGATAATCTATCACAAAACCTATTTCATAAAACTCGGGACGTAATTTTACATCCCAATCCTTATTGAAGAGTTGTTGACGACCAACGAGACTTGTAGGGACCCAAAATTTGTTTCATTACCTTTCACCATTGTAATAACACTTTGTAATATCTACATTAGTCACCATTCTCCTATACCCACTACTCCATGCTAGTGTTAGTGTTTGAAATAGTCCCCTCGACTTTGCCCCATAACCATACAGAAACCAACATTCATCGTAAACCAGCCGGATATTACTATTGACTATCGCTTGCAAAGCAAAATAAATCTAAATTTGACAATAGGCAAAGTCAATAGAACCATCAAATTACAACATGACAATCAATAATTAGTTTACCCAGCCCAATATATTCACCAACAAGTACCAAATGTGTATCAACAAATTACAAGCACCAACAAACAACGGCGTGATTCGTATATGACCCCTTTTCCTGTTGACAAAAAAAAAGGAAAAAGAAAAATAAAAGGACCCAGAAAACCGCGTATTCAGTAACACCAATTTTCCAAGGATAATTATTCCTTATAGCCCTTGAAAAATTGGGTCAAATAGGATATCGTCATTTCCTTCATTAATTATCGTTATTAGTTTCCATTTCCATAGGGAAAAACAAGGTAGTAGTCCTCCTACTCCACCAGATCATGGTTCAACATCAATTCAGTTGCAATTCAAATTTCAGGTCATTTACGCTTCTATGAAAATTCGATATTTCATGCAAAGTTGAATAATCTATACAATTTATGTGGAGATAAGACGTTTATAAACGAAGACCCGACTTTTGATCAGGGGCAGCTTATATACGGGATAGGTAATTCAGAAACAAGAATCCTAGAACGAGGTTGTAAATTCTACAATTTTCAGGAGCTTCTGTCTTTGTAACATGGATTGTTTTTTTTTTTTTTTTTCCTTTCTGTTTTTGTTGATGTTCAAATGTGACAACATAAGATCCTTTTAAAAGATGAAACAAGATTTTTACCGCAAAAAAGGAAAAAAAAAAAGAAGGAAGAAGTAACGATAAGATAGATAAAACGTTGGCCCAAATTATTTTACTTGGTCAAATATTCTGATTAGGTTCGGAGAAGGGCGCTGGACGTGAAATTGCACTTAGTGGAGCACTGGAGGTTGGAATTGGCCCTTCCTTTTAGGGTTCAAAACAGAAGTAATGTTAAAACTTAATATGAGAATATCTTGTTTCTGGTTTCAAATAACCTTAAATTTAAGAACCAGATAACGAAAGAAAATAATATAATAAAATAATAACAACAACCAAGAGTCGTATAATTAGTTCATCGGTTTATTATTTTTTGATACAATGAAAGAGACCGACTATGTGGTGTACTCCAACCTTATTCTGACCATTGATATGTGGTTAAATATAGTCTTATTATTCGATAGCATTCTGTATTTTTGATATCAATAACAGAATTATAGCTACTTAATAAACTAAAATGAAACTTTGTCAGGAATATCGACCATGGAATTTTGCTTTAGTTATTGGGACAGAACGTGATGGTGTAATCCGATCCGGAACAAGTGAACGTGCTAGAAGCATCGTCATAGGCGTAACTGTATGCCGAAGGGCACGCATTCTTGAAGATCCTTGAGTAATCCGTCGGGGGACATGTTTGTGGTGTGGAGTGGTCACCGGTGCAACAATATTCCGGTGTTCTAAATGCTTCACAAGCACTCTTGCATGCGACAACTGAGCCAGAATTCCGCACTTGCAACTCTGGGGGACAGTTTGCGTTTAAGTCCGCAACGCAGCCGGCGTACCCGCAGTCACCAGACCCGCCGGAGGGACGGACTCCGACTCCCACATTGTATCCGTCTACGAGGCTGACATCGTAGAAGTCTTTCTGAGTGCTGTCTTTGCCGAGCGTGAACTCCGCTAAACTTACCGGTGGCACGCCGCCTCCGGTGCACTTAAGTCCCCCGCAGTTACCGGTGGCGCAGGACCCTTGTCCAGAGGCATCGAAGTTGCATCCGGTACGTGCCCAGAAACGTCCAGACCAACCGGCTGGGGCGGAGACTTGGGTGGAAGCACCAGGGGTCAGAGTAAATCCGCCACCTCCAAGTGGGGCACCACCGTCACCGGTAAGTGTTCCGGGCCAGACTGTATAACTACAGCTATTTTTTAACGTAAAAACCGTGGCGGAATTAAAACCAATTGCTCCTGCATAATGTGTTATCGTAAAGTCAATGAAGTTGGCTAATTACAATTAGTATGGTGATAAGGGGACCAATAATCTCAGAATTGTTTACGCTTTTCTTTTCTTTTAGTGAGAAATTAATTAAAATTAATCAATCAATAACCATAATTTCCAATTCACTAATAGAGGAACTACAGAAATTGGAGTTAATGAGGGTAGCAAATTTTAAGCATGAAAACTATGGCATAAAATTGATGAAGAACACTTGCAGATATATAATCACTGATCATTGACGATAGAAGAAAATCGAACAAGGCTAAAATTATTTCACCCAATTTTATTTTTTTTAAGAAAAGACAAAATGCGGACGTACCGAGATAAAGGAGAGCAAGAAGAAGAAGAACCATGCTGTGCCTGGCTGCCATTGATGAACACTAGGGGATGAATTTTGCGGCAAGAAGATTTACGGTACTGAAAGGAAGTTGGTTGATTTCTAGTTGTGAAATTTGAGATCGTGGAAGTGGATATTTATAGAGTCCCGATTTTGTTTAATTAGGAAAAAGCGGGTCCGAGATCAATTAATTAATTTTATATTAGTTTGAATTTTATTTCCGGGTCAATGCCGCTTCTGTGAAAATTCGACATTGCATGCAATTGAACAAATCTACAAGACTAGTGGCTAGTTGTGACTAATTAATCGACCAATTAAGAGATTTGTAAACGAAGACCCAACATTTGATTAGCCAGCGCTTATGTAACTCATAATTCCAAGCAAGAATTACCCGTTGCGCCAGTTTTTATTTTTATTAGTTAATTCATTTTAGCACGAGTTTGTATATTTCGTATTTTCTTTGGCCATGCAATTAGTATAATTTCCAGGTAGAGTTTTATAGCTTTGATGCATGAATTGGAGAAATGTCTTTCGCTGTCTTTGTTGATTGTTCATTCAAGTAATAAATATAACAATTTGGATTCCTATATTTTGCGAAAAGAATTCAGTTACATATGTATTACTACAATATTGAAACTAAATTGCAAGTATCAACGAATAAGTTCATGAGACATTCCGTGCAAGGTTCAAGGATAGCTTGATATTTGCTTAAAATTATAACGGGGTGACCATTCCATCAGGTATTAACCATGTGATTGGATAATAAAAATAAACTGAAAATTCCAATTTTGTCTGGGTCAAGTACTGCCGCGATTTTACGGTTACAAAAGAATTTGATTGGGTTGGAGTCCTCATTGAGACTAAGCTAATTTTCAAGATGAAAGCCTTTAACGTGATAAATATTGGTCAAACGGAAGGAACTACCCTTTAAGGGTCTAATAACGTGATAAATTCATTAGAACTCTATAAATTCTGGGATGGGCGTATAAGACACGACTGGTGTGATAGTAATCGAATTCGCGCAAATGGAAATTTTGCCGTATTAATCACAATGTTGTGTCTTGTCAAAATCGACCTACACATTTAAGCTCAAACGGGAAAGGTCAAGCAAAACGCGCAAATTTTAAATGAACTTCTTGTGTGTTAACTTAGTCTTGTTTCATAACAATTGCTGTGACCATAAGGTAAAAAACTGGATTTGAGAAAAAAAAAAAACCATTTGATGTATTCAAAACTAATTAAATGAGTTATAGAGACCTTGGACCAGTATAAAACAAAATTTTCTTCCCGGGAAAAGACAAAAAAAAGATTGTACCAAAAGAAAAAAGAAAAGAAAAAAAGATTACTAACAAGAAAGATGAGATCATTATGAAAAATATATACACTATCCCAACTCGCATGCTAGTTGTAGACTTCGGAACAAGTTTCATCATGTTTTGCCAAAAATCTTAACAAGTTTCACGATTCTGCCAAATTAAATAAGTTTACAAAACTCAATATTCATCGTAAATCTTCCTAATCATCGACCGCGTATGTCTCTGGCTTTGTCAATGGTAAGGAGGGCGACGTTATCCCAATATATGTCGTTATTGTTGATAACAAGTTCGGTATGTGAGATGGTACGGAGCAAAATATTTGAAGGTTTGAATGGGCGAATCCACAATCTGAGAAGTTATAGTTTCTGAATGGATGATTAATTATGTAATCCCTCGGCCACATCCTCTATCTAAAAAAAATAATTCATATTAAATTTTTGAGATTTATACTAAAATCAGTGTGAATTTGAAAATGCAATGCGGATTATTTTTTTAAGCACATGGGGAGTATTAAAATCAATGTAATTTACAATTGTTTTTTTTAAAAAGTTATAGTTTATAATGGCAGCGTATCATTTTTATTTTTATTTTTTAAAAAAAATTGTTACAAAAAATGGAAGGTTGAACCTAGTCAAACCAAAATTTTAATGGATAGGACGATGTCGGAGTAAGAATTTGTCATTACTCTGACATGCATGCACACAGTCACCAAAATAACTGTTAAGATATTCCTTATAGCCCTATGAACAAATTGGATCAAATACGATAACGTAATTTCCTGCATTAATTCTCGTTATTAGTTTCCATTTCCGCTTTCCAAGTTAATTCCAACAGGGAAAAACTAGGTAGTACTCCTCCAACACGAGATCATGACTCAACATCAATTCAGTTGAATTTTAGTTCCCATCAGGTTGAATAATCTAGGGAATACAATTTATTCGGAGATAAGACGTATATATAGTTTTTTCCTCAAATAATCTCATTTCGAAAATATTTCCTTTAATAACCTAAACTCAAATCATATCCCTTTAATAACTTTAGTGATGTCACTAAATCAATAATTAAGTCAATTAAATGACTTGATAACCATTCCATCTTTTGATCGAGTTATTCACTCTTCCGTATTTTCATAACTAGTATTCCAGTTTAATTTAATTTATCCAGAGAACTTCTTTGAGTTTGAGGATGAATCTGATTCGGAGCCAATTGGCAGTAGCTTTTTCTTTTTCTTCTTTTTTTTTTTCTTTCCTTTTTCTATTTGTGTGTCCAATAGGGGAATGAAGGCACGAACAAACTCTCTTTGGTTATCATCATTGATTTTTTTTTTCTTCCATGAAGTGAATTGGCTATTGGGATTTGATTTATCCTTAGTGAAAAGATCATATTTTCTAGGGATGAACGGTGAAAAGACAATATTTTGATTTTGGCGTCGGTCCAGGAATTTTAATCTTCTTCCATTGATTTGAAGAGTCTTGAAATTTTGTAATCTTCTAATCCTTAGTTCATAAAAAGATCAGAGCAATTTTAATTCTTGATATTTAAAGAGAAAAAAATTATTGAATGAGAATGAATATGTGTTAATCAGTGATGGTGATGAATTGTGTCTTTTCTGTGGGAAGAGATGAACAACCAGTCCACCATGGAGATGGAGATCAACAAGGGGTGATAGTGCTTTTCCGGAGGAGAGAGATAAAAAACCCATGGATGAGGGAAAGCAAGACAACAACATTGACAACAAGAATGAGTAAAATATGGTGAATTTAATAAGGGCAGTTTAGGAAATCAACTACTATTTACTAAACAATAATTAACGACGACATAAAAAAAAATCACTTGAGGATTTTGATTTGATTTTGAGTTATTCAGGAAAATAGTTTAATGCTTTGAGTTATCTAAGAAAAAAACTAGACGTTTATAAGCGAAGACCCGACATCTTGATCAGGGCAGCTTATGTGATTCGTAATTCATGAACAAGAACCCAACATAAAACGAGGTTGTAAATTAATTCTACAATTTCTAGGAGCTTCTGGCTTTGTAACATGGATTGGTTTCTTTTTTCTTTTTTTTTTTCCTTCTGTTTTTGTTGAATGTTCAATTCAAATGTAACAACATAAGATACACTTAGAAGATGAAACAAAATTTTAACGGAAAAAAAAAAAAAAGTAAAACAGAACAAGTAACGATAAGATAGATAAAACGTTGGCACGAATTATTTCACTTGGTCAAGTAATATGATTGGGTTTGGAGAAGGGTGCTGGACGTGAAAATGGACTCAGTGGAGTACTAGTGGAGTTGGAATTGGCCATTCCTTTTAGGGTTCAAAACCGAAGTAATGTTAAAACTTAAAATGAGGAGCTTGTTTGGTTTCAAACATATGATCAATCAAGTCAATAACCTTTTAATTTGAAAATTTGTCCTCTATGAAAATTAATTGCGATACTGAACTATTGATTCTCATGTCCACGAAAATATAAATAAAAGATAATTTAAGAGTGACATTTAATAGGAGTACATCATTAACAGAGTCGATACTTAAGAGTGACATTTGAAAAAGACCGATTATGTCGCAACCTCCAATCATATTTCTCTCACCAATGGTGGATATAGTTTTATTCAATAGCATTATGTATTATTCATATCAATAACAGAGTTATCGATACTTAATTTACTAAAAATGAAACTTTTTAAAGATTCCTCAAACAATGTCAGGAATTTCGACGATGGAATTTTTCTTTAGTTATTGGGACAGAAGGTGATGGTGTAATCCGATCCGGAACAAGTGAACGTGCTGGAAGCATCGTCGTAGGCGTAACTGTAGGCCGAAGGGCACGCCTTTTTGAAGATCCTTGAGTAATCCGTCGGGGGACATGTTTGTGGTGTGGAGTGGTCACCGGTACAACAGTATTCTGGAGTTCTAAACGCTTCACAAGCACTCTTGCATGCGACGACTAATCCAGAATTCCGCACTTGCAACTCTGGGGGACAGTTTGCATTTAAGTCCGCAATGCAGCCGGCGTACCTGCAGTCGCCGGACCCGCCAGAGGGACGGACTCCAACTCCCACATTGTATCCGTCCACGAGGCTAACGTCGTAGAAGTCCTTTTGAGTTCTGTCTTTGCCGAGTGTGAATTCCGCTAAAGTCGCCGGTGGCATGCCGCCTCCGGTGCACTTAAGTCCGCCGCAGTTACCGGTGGCGCAGGAACCTTGTCCAGAGGCGTCGAAGTTGCATCCGGTACGTGCCCAGAAACGCCCAGACCAACCGGCTGGGGCGGAGACTTGGGTGGAGGCACCAGGGGTTAGAGTAAATCCGCCGTTTCCGAGCGGAGCCCCGCCGTCACCGGTAAGAGTTCCGGGCCAGACTGTGTAACTACAGCTATTTTTCAACGTAAAAACTGTAGCCGAATTCAAACCAATTGTTCCTGCACAAGTTGTAATCGTAAAGTCAATGAAGTTGGCTAATTACAATTGATATGCTTATAAGGAACCAATAATCTCATAATATTTAACGCTTTTCTCTCTTTCAGTGAGAAATTAAAATTAATCAATCTGTAACCATGCATAATTGCTAAAAGAGGAACCACAAAAAAACGGAGTAATTAACTAGTGTAGCAAATTTTACGCATGGAAAACAATGGCATAACATGACCATAAAAATTGATGAACACGTGCATATATATGATCATTAGTTATCGACGATAGAGGAAACAAATAAGGCAAAACTTATTTCACTATAAAAACAAAGAAGAAAAAAAAAGACAAAATGCGGACGTACCGAGATAAAG